TAATGATAATAATAATAGTAATAATAATAATAATAATAATAATAATAATAATAATAATAATAATAATAATAATAATAATAATAATAATAATAATAATAAAAAGCACAAGCAATGAAAAACATTGACTGGTACTGTATTATATAACATAGACAAGCTATGTTCCCTTTAATTTTCAGCCCCGCTTCATGGGGCTCTGTCCCTCACAGATGCAATTCTGCTCCCCCCAAATGTGGGACTCCGCCCCCCCACACACACACATGGGGCAGTACCACCAAAACCAGATTGCTACAATGAAAAATATTTGATCTAATGAAATCCTACCTTATCTGTTTGTAAATTATCAGAACTCAAATGATAAATCCCGAATTGAAAATCCATGCTACCCTCAGAATTACAAGACCATTATAACAACAAAGCACTTGTATGGAAGCCTCTGTACAGCAAACAAAAGGCCAGAGAACCACAATCTAAGCCACACTATCAGTGTCACGGGAACTGGGGACCCAGCGCTCTGCAGAGAGGCAGTCTCTGGGTTATTTGACTTCACATCTTGCAGAGACAAGGAAGACTGCTCCTTTAATGGAATCTACCAGCCAAAAGTTAAAGGAAACTTTGTGGTAAGTTTCTTTTTCCTGCTTATTGTATTATTTTTTTCTCTGTTTTTCTTTCAGGGAGAGAATTATTTTAGTTACATTTCTAATTGTACTGTGTTGTGCTGTACTGTACTGTTAACATTGTTTAATATTTGCTAGCAAACTACCTTAGGACAAGTGAATGAGAAAGCAGAGTATCTGTTTTTAAAATGAATAAAGTAAGTCAATAGACTTTAGTCAGCACCCTATTGAAGATTTATGCTGGCAGTGAATTGCTGCTAATTAATGAGTTGTTCTTTACGTTCCTAGTCAGGTGAGTATGAATGCAAGTGGTATGTAATTCATTATCATAGAACCATAGAAAAGTGAAGTTGGAAGGGGCCTACAAGGTCATCAAGTACAACTCCCTGCTCAATGCAGGAATACAATCAAAGCATATCTGCCAGATGATTATCTACGTTTTTCTTGAATGCCTCCAGTGTTGGAGCAACTCCCAAGGTAACTGATTCCACTGTCGTACTGCTCTAACAGTTAGGAAGTTTTTCTTGATACAGTATTCAATTGAAATCTGACTTCCCTTAACTTGAACCCATTGTTGTGTGTCCTGCACTCTGGGATGATCGAGAACAGATCTTGCCCCTCCTCTGTATGACAGCCTTTCAAATATAGACAGTCTTCTTTTCTCCAGGCTAAACATGCCTAATTCTTTCAGCCTTTCCTCATAAGGCATGGTTTTCAGCCCCCTGATTCACCTCTGAACTTGTTCCAATTTGTTAGCATCCTTCTGGAAGTGTGGTGTCCAGAACTGGACACAATACTCAAGGTGAGGCTTAACCAGTGTTGAATAGAGGGGGACTAGGACCTCACGGGCTTTGGAAACTATACTTTTCTTAATGCAGCCTAAAATAGTATTTTCCTTTTTTTGTAGCCACATCACACAGTTTGCTCGTATTTAGCTTGTGATCTATGACAATTCCAAGAACCTTCTCTCTCGTAGTTTTGCTAAGCCAGGTATCCCCCATCTTGTGGCAGTTGATTGATGTGATTTATGTCATTACACTTCCACTGGCATAAATCCACAACAGGATTCTGGTCATCATTTTTTGTATAATATCTGTTGTCATTAAGTGTTTTTCATCTGACTTTATTCACAGGCTTTTTCTGGATTCTACTACACAGTCAATGCTTTGAATTTAACTGGACAATTTTCATTGGCCGATTTTAATTCCAGCATGTGGACTTTCTGCTCACAGAACTGGAACCAGGTCTGTATCCATCTCCTGTGTTAGTGAAGGGAAGCATTAGCCAAAAATCTGTGGAAAGTAACATTGTCACTTATCTCAGTGTGTTAAAATGCTTAGCAGAACTTTATGCATGCCTAAAATATCATGCCACAATTTCACATTCCTTGCTTTTGATGATGTGTTGTTTTTTCTGAAACATCATAACAGAACCTTTGTGGCATTATGGTATTCTGTGTTTATAAAGCTGGTCATGATCCAACTAAAGTTTTAGCAATTTGTTTTTGGAACAGGACCTAAAAGTACTTAACTCTTCCTGTACCATACCTCACATTATTAGGAAGGCAGAAGATAAATAATTCAGTTCTATATGAAAGACTGCTTAGCTAGTGTCCACAATGGAATAAGTTCTAAGTTTACAAACATTTTTGACAAAATCCAAATAAAAAACAAAACAAACAAACACACACAAAACATGTGGCACCTGTTTAAAAAAAACAAAGCATTCAACTTGTTTGCCTTTCTTGCTCCTGGCACATTTCTTCACCTCTTGTAGCTTCATTTGATATTCTTCAGATCACTCCTGTTCAATTTCAGTTCAAGACTGAGATGATACAAATTACGTGATTTTAGTGTGATATCAGTTCCCCTGTTCTCCCCCTCCCTTTGTAACCCCTATGAAAAGATTTGGAAATTAATTAATTAATTTAATATACCAACTTGCTACTCTGGGTGGTGTACAACAAAAATGAAAAAACAAAATTTATATAAAAATTAACTACAACAAATTTCTAAATTTCCAAACCTTGCTTATATTTTTCTGTCCTTTTGTTTGGGCCCAATTCAGGTACAGTACTACACTAATATGAATCTTGGCATTTTTTTTACAGTCGAAGTAATTGTTTTTAAATAAAATAAAACAAAATTTTGTGCCGTAACAAATTTATCTTAGAAGGTATTCTCACTAAATATATATCAATCTAAAAATGATTGGTACAGGGTTTTTTCCAGGCAGATTTCTGTATTTATTTTCCATATTGACAGTATTTCTTCTCCTTGAGATATTTCTTGAGCTGCCTGAACTAATTACAACAAGAGTTTTCTTTGAAATTACTAGCTCCCTTGTCATTTCCAGTCACAAGAGAAGGGCAAAGTAAACATGTTCTTAAACAAATAAAGGAATTATGAATGCTTATTTTGTTCTTTTTGTTTTTCAGCTTCCATTTATGCTGCCTAAATTTGAGGAGACATATGCAAGATCATACTGCTTTTCAGCAAACTATATTTATTACTTGCTTATACATGGATATAAGTTCAATGCAGAGAATTGGCCTCTAATACACTTTCAGAAGGAGGTAAGCTTAATTTCTACCCTGGAAGATGTGATAAATCTTGAAAAATTGAAAAGTCTCTGAACTGAGGAACTCAAGATTTAAAGTTCCTTTCACAGCAGTTCATGGTAGCCTAGAGAAGCAAAACGAACAAATGAACAAACAAACAAATGAACAAACAAACAAATGAACAAACAAACAAAGAAACAAATAAGAAATTGATCCAGTCCTGAGGTCCCGTGAGGTAGCAAATTTGGGGATCTTGCACAACTTCCATTTATTCCAATGGCTTTTGGAGAAGAAAAGAACTATGCCATGTTAATTAATATTAATATCCTTCCATTTGGATTTTTCATCTTAAGCATTAAAATGCTTTCAGTTGGCCTTTGACCACATAAGGCCTCTTCAGGTGGAAGATTTAGGAGATCGTTTTCCTGATTCCAACTTCCCTCTTTTTCAAAAGTGATAAAAAGAGGGAAGTTGGGATCAGGAAAAAGTGGAGTAGGAGGAATGACATTTTAATTTTTCATTACAACAGTAAAGGCATTTAGGGGTCTGGGCTGATGTTACTTACATCAGAGGTGCCCATCTCCTGGTCTGCGGCCTGGTGCCGGTCTGTGGCCTGAGCCGGACCGGGCCGCAGAGTCAGACCTTCCACCCTGCCCGCACTCCTTTCCACAGACCCATTGCACCTGCACGCATGTGCCTGCACCTACACAAGTCCTCCCCACCCCTTAGCGCATGCGCATGAGTGCCCCCAAGTGCTGAACACCCTTTGCACATGTGCACAAGCACGCCCACCCACACAAGCACTCCTGCTCCTTCACGCATGTGCACGAGCGTGGGGGTGCCCCACCTTCCCCAACTGGTCTATGGGGTTAAAAAAGTTGGGGACCGCTGACTTACATGATGTGAGAGTTACTCAGGGTAGCTCTTTCCTGATGTATGAAGGTACTGTCAGAATTCAAAAGCAGCCTTAAGATTCGCAACACATTAAAAGCTAAATATTGCAAATATATAAGCCAACAGAAGCAGCAAAAATATTTGGGTGTGAATGTGAAATATTGGGGGTGCTCAGTATGATGTAGTGTATAGTATAGTATTTATTTATTTGATTAGTCATTTCAGCCATATCAGAAAGCATACAAATCACACATATCCAAAGTAAACAGCTAAAAAGAGATAAAATACATTTCAATAGTAAAATATAAAACAACATATACATATTTTAATTGAGTGAGTCAATTAAATTGACTGTTTGCAATATCAGAGTTGGCCAACAGAGGGAACCAAAAAGTAATCCTTGTCTTTTTTTTTTATTGGCTGCTAGCAGCAATAATGCAAAAATTCATTAAGAGGCAACATAACAAATTATTTTTGCAAATGGAGTAAGATGATAACAACCTGACTGCTGCAAAATGATGAGGCAATTAGTCCCTTAAAAAAATGTTCTCACCTCTGGTCCGACAGAAGCCTGGTTCAGAAGAAACCAGACAACCATAGGTCTCATTAAAAGGGAGAAAAGTCCATACCTTGCTCCTTGCTCCACAAAGAAGAGATTGAAAGCTTTAGAACTAACCACAGTTTCTCATTACATCCGAACTTGGGAAACTATAGTTAATTTCAACTGTGCTTAGTTATCCTGGTTTATTTTTAAGTAACCGCAAAGAGAGCAAACTACAGTTTCCTAAGTTCTGACATAACAGGGAACTGGGATAAGTCCTGAAATGAAAGCTTTCATTCCCTTCTCCTTATGCACACAAAGGAATAAGTGAGTGAGGGGAGTAATATAGCAACCCAAGTTTTAAGGAGGTTCATTCATTCTTGCTATAAGAAACCATTTATTTCTTTTATTTGTTTAAAGCAACAAAGAGATATTTTTCTATTAGCAAAGCTGTGCCCACCTCAGTGCACCAAGGTAGCTGCTTGTCTAATTGTGCAGAACTAGGAGATTGGGCAAATTGTACAGAACTGCTAAAGGCAATGTGATAGTTTATACCAAATATTTTTTCTGTCTTCCCAATTGGCCCCAAATTTGCATGGCTGATGTTTTTAACATTATGTCCTTTTTCTGTGTGTTTTAGGTTGGTAACAGCAGCATAGCCTGGCCATTAGGCTACATGCTTAGCCTCACCAACATGATTCCTGCGGAGACTGACAAGATCTTGTTCCCCATGAATCCCAATCTATTTGCTGGACTGCTTCTCTTTTTCACAGCAGTGGCGTTACTGTGTCTAATCTTCCTTGTGTATTCCTGTGTTGTGTCACGCATGAGAAAGAATGCCTGTCATGTTGAACATGTATTTGTGGAATAAAAAAAGATCATCAGGGGAGATCTAACCTTGTATTTAATTTAACAAGCAGTGCTGTAGAGGAAAAGGAGCATAAAAATAACTGCATCAGAACAACTAAAAATAAGGAAGTGTACCAACTGAAACACCTGGATAGCTCTCAGTTTTTCTCTTTCACAACCTTGTAATACAGTACTTGAATTTAACCTTCTTATTCTTATTGCACAGAAGAGGTTTGTTTTTTTTTTGTTCTCCATAGAAGGCTTGAGCAACGTGTCCATTTCCCAGCCCCTCAATATACTTCCAGATTCTCCATCCCCACAATGCCCTGAAAAAAATGGGAGGCTGCTCCTCTGCTGTTTGGGGAAGAAATGCCTTTTAAAGCCTCAACCAGCTCAACCACGTCCAGAGTAAAAATATGTGCAATTGTGCAACTGGGAGAAAGGAAACATTTGCAGCAAAAAAAAACATTAAACAGCACAGTATGAAGATGTATCAAATGACTTCTGTGATGCATTTACGATTTGCTCCAGAATTCATAAATGCTCAGTTATTGATTACTTCAGAATTCTCTTTCCTAATATTAATATTCCAAATCATCTAAGGCAGAATGACCCCTCAATGTACTCTAACTTGATGTAATGGCAGGTTTTTAAAAGAAGGACTAAATAATTGATCTCTCCATGTACGCATGAATTAGGACTTCTTCTGCTATAGTGATTTAAAGTGAAGAGGTTATTATTCCATGTGAGATATGTGCAGTACAACAGTCTAATTTTATTATTGGCAGCTCCAGTTACCTTATAGTTGTGGCTAATAACAAGTTTCCGTGTTAGCTGCTCCCTAAAAGGAAATGTTGAAGATTCCCCCCCTTTTGGGAAACTCTTATTAATGCTATTATTTGTTGACACCCCAAGTTCATTTATGAAACTGCTTGAAGTCAATACTTGTGCTTTTTACCCAGCTGGACCATGTCTACAGGCAGATGCAGAGTGAAATTTGTGGAACTTTTTGGCCCCTGCTTGGGTAGCACTAGCTTTTGGTGAAAGTTCCCCAGGGGAAAACTTTGGACAACAGATCATTACCTTACAGGGTACAATTTTATAACACTTTCTAGTATACAGGATTTATAATTTTGAGAGATAGGCATAAGTGGCAATAGCAGCTCCATGTCCTTTGAGAGCTAGGGAGAATCTTCAGCCACTCGGTCCCCCCCCACCCCCGCCCCAATCTTTAACCAGAAGACAAAGCTAGAACAGGCTTGGGAAAAATCTTTAGTTCAGTGAGGAACTTAGATACCTTCAGAAGGGAGGGACCAGGGATTTAATCAACTGGATTAGAATATGTGACCCTTCGGGTATTATTGGATTGTAAATTCCATCAATCTTAATTAAAATAGGTTGTGATGAAGGATAAGGGAAGTTGCAGTCCAACAAGATAGGTACAGCACATGTTCCAAATCCTGCATAAACTAATTAGTAGTTTTACCTCCTCTCCTCCTGACAACCTGGATTAGCAAACCCTCCTTTGTGATCTAATATATATATGAGTTGGTTTATTTTATTTATATCCCCCATTTTGCCCAGAACTGGGCCACAGGGTTAGTCCTGCTAGCTCACATTCTTGTAGTGTTCATTTACTCTATCTGGTGCTCCACCCGTGACAATCATACACATGTGGGCAACAAGACCCATTCCATCTGTGAACCCTGACAGGCATAGGTATGGCACAGTATGCAGTATATGATTTGGCAGACAGTGGTGGGCTGCTGACCTTGACCCTATCAAATTCCCCACTGCTCTCTTCAGATTCCCATCCTCAGGTGGATTAAAACCACAGCCTCTTAGGGTACAAAAAAGGGAGCCTTGCCCAACTCTTTCTCATAATGGCAAAGTCACAGCTTCCACGATCAGCCTGATATCCAGACAGGCAGGAACACGTGGCCCAGCAGATGCTGCTGGGCTGCAACTGCCATCAACCCTAACAAGCATAACCAGTGGGAAGGAAAGATGGGCATTGTAGTCCACCATCTAAATAGCTATACATTTCCTATCTCTACTAAAAAGGAAAGACAGTGTCCAAAAGCTTGTTGTACAACTACACAAGTGCAACTCGAGGTTGTGCCTGCTGTAGATGCACTAGCATGAGGATGGAAGTGCCATCCCTGAAGCATTTCCACTGGAACATTGCATAGTTTCTTATTGCCAGGCATAATGCTTAGCACATTTACAACAATGATCAAGATTTTGCCCAATGTGTGTTGCTAACCAGATCAGGAGTGGACTTACCTCCTTACCAACACCGTGACAAATGGATCCTGCATCTGCAGAGAGCAAAGGCAGATAAAAACAATAGCTTTGAGTATGCATGGCCATTCCCCTTTGGAGGCAGCAGCAGAACACCATGGGTGAAAGGTCAACTTTTTCTGTTCCACAGAACTAGGCTGTGGTCCTTGATAGCATGAATGTTTGGCCGTCACTATAACAGATATAGTCATGGGATGCCGCATGTTGGTCAACAGAAACAGGTGATTAGTTCCTCTTCTGTGTACGTGAGATGCTGTCCCCCACTCTATAGGTTGAGGAATCTGTCATATAAAAGAACAGCTGTGTCCTATTAAATAGATGTTGTGTCACCAGCTTCTTGGAAGTGTGAGCATAAAAAGCACATTGTCATATCCCATGTTTACCACTTTACTGTTTTAAAGAGTTGCTTACCTTATCAAGGTGATAGCATGCTGACGTTTTTTGTGCCAGTCAACAAGTAACCACACCCAACCAACACTGGAGAGGGTGGGTGGCTATCGTTTTCCATTTCCCTCTGCCAGGTACAAGGTAAGGAGACTAAACTATAAAGTCTCTTTGGTTGCCCAGATCATGATAGTCTCTTGGCCTCAGAGGAATTGCAGCCAGCTGGGCTTGGGGAAGGGGGATCTTCAGCATATGAAGGCATCTGCATGCTTCCTTTTGCTGTATTGTATCATGCTGCACATGTGTCAACCATCAATACAATAAACTATGAAAGGCACCAGTGGCTTTCTGACTCTATCAGGATTCAAAGTACAGTATGTAAGCTCACTGGGCTTTACTGGCTGGTCCAAAACTGCCAATTAGCACATTCCTATTGTGAGAAGAATGGTGTTTGAACAAGATACAATTATATAAGGAAGAGTGGGAGTAAGGAAGACATGGGTTTTATTTTTTTCACACTTTCAGCCTGACCAATAATTGTAGCTTCTTGCATGGTGTACAAGGGTGGCAATGTAGCAGTGCTCAATCTACTTCCCTTGCTTGCCTATGTGAACGACTTTGGGCACTCCAACTCTTGGGGCTGAAATGGCGCATGGGGCAAGGTGCTCCTAAAGATTCTAGGTAGACAAGTGTTTAGTACTGTGCAAATTCCAGAAATATTATGGAGATCAGCAGTTTTGTGCAAACGTCTGCCTTTTTGTATAAATGCCTTCTTCCCAAACATTCCTACCACCAAAATATTTCTTTTCATCATCTCTATGTATACACAACATACACTACTGCCCCTGAATTACAGCATGTTGCACACCTTAGCAAAATTATCATATCCTGTCCCTCCTGGCAAAGTGTATATACAGGTGATGGTGTGCTGTGACAAGATGATAAACTATGCCTTATCCTGCGCTCTGTGGCAGGCTGCACTGTTAATGGAGGTTTGACTGTGATCCGGAGAACTGTGGCATGTACACTCCTTTGCGCCACCCTGTCTATGATTCTATCCGACTGATGCCATTCCATTGATAGATCTATTTTAATGGAACCAAACCTGCATATTTGGAGAGTTCTCCCAAATTCTCTATTATGACAGTAGCTAGCCGAGATTTCACCAAGTCCTACATCATTTCAGCCAGTGAGATTTGTATCATAAGGATTGCACTGCAAAAGAAAAAAAATATTCCACTTTCCCCTCTGTTATCATTGAACTGGTTAGAAAGCAAAAATGGCCAACCGCATACGGGTGATATTGAGCTCTCAATTTCCTTTGCTTATTTGCTTAAGTACACCAGGCTTGAGAGAGAGTATGGTGGAGTAGCAAAGGTAAACTACTTCTTGAACATCTAATGTATCCCAAAATGTAAGAGCTGTGTAAGTCAGAAGCAACTTGATAGTGTGTCACAACAACATGCCAGCTTGGATCTTTTGGGAGAAAGACGGGATATAAATATTTTAAATAAATAAATAAAAATAAATAACAGGAGCGGGACAAGATACCATTTCAGTGTACACTGCTTTCTGATAACATCAGGTTTTTGTTTTTATTTAATTCTTAATTTTCTACTTCTTTGCAACTCATTCTTGAAACTACAGTGCTTATTTCAGAAGCTTGATGAGTCCCAAAGCTTCGGAATGTCATTGGTCAGCAAGGACTGGGCATGAAAGAATATATATATACAGTATATAAACAAAAACGTGGTGGTACAAGAAAATCTACATGGATGAGGTAATTCAAATATGCAAGGAGATCTAAAAACCCGATCTTTGTTCAAGCCAAAATGGAAACGTTTGACGCTCTGGACAACTACCAACTGGACAAGTAACTCTTTCCTTTAGGTACTGTTAACCTTCCACTCGTAAACCGAACATTCACTACGCATGCGTGTAGTAGAGCCCAAGGCAGAGGACTCGAAAATGTCCTCCCGGTTGTAGGGTCAGCAAAAGTAAGCCGCATGCGCACCATCTTAAAGCTTTAATTTATTCCTCACCGCCCTCGGGCGCGCGCTCTCACGCATGCGTCTCATTGTCTGTACACACAGAAGGGCATACCACAAGTCCCACCTCTTCCTACTCGGCGCTTGCGCAGTTAAGACATTGGAAGAGGTATCACGAAGCAACCGGAAGCGGCTCTTTCTTTTTTCCCGTCGACTCGTATCTCGTCCATCATGGTGAGCGCGGGAGCGTGGTTGGGGCCTGGTTAGGGAGGCTTGCCCTAACTTTTTTCGCGAGGAGGAAGGATCGTTATTAAGGGACGGGGGCCTTTGTATTTCACCTGTGAAATGCAGTAGCTGTTCCCGGAAAGCAACAGGGCGGAAGACCGAGGGCTGGACGTAGTTCGGCCCAGGGTTGCTGGAGGGGTGAGGTATGGACTCGAGGGAGGGGAGCCGCAGTAGGCCAACGGAAGGCTTCCGAGATTCTCCCTTGAGAGGAGAGGGTGAATCGGGACATAACGGAGAGGAGTTACTTTTTTGGGGAGCTACAATTGGGCCGAGGGATTCTGGCAACTGCAGGGGGGAAATGTAACTTTCCTAAACTCTGCGGGCAGATAGCGTCAGGAATTACTCCCAACGGGCTTCTCCTTGTATCCGCCTCCTGTGAGGGGGTCGACGTTTCAGCACCACGTTAGGCAGCCACAGCCATCCGACAAGGAGAGTTCTCGGCCCTTAAAACGTGGGCCTCGTTATGTGGGAAAAAGAGTTTTTTAAGGGCCGTTGGGGACGTTCTTATATCAAATTTTGAGGTGACAAACCCCTGACATTTAGTCTGTTTCTTACCACTTTACATGAATCTGTAGATAAAAAATAGATAGCAGCGATGTGTTGGCCTTTTTTTTCTCCAGCCCTTTCTGCATGGAAATGCAGAAAGGATGCATTCACGATGCCAATTCTGCAATTTTGAATCCTCATCTTTATGTTGAAACATTTGGCAAAACAATAACTGCAGCCCTTTTTCTCTGTAATTACTCTGTAGCTGAACTTGAATATAGTTAACTGCAGTAATCGCATCTTTTCCCTTTTTTCCTCAGGGTTCTCTTTGTTAATAGTATTGATTATTCAAGGATCTGGAGTGATATAGTTAATAGGTGCCTCATCTTTCTAAAGCTCTCTAAATGTTGGGGTAGTGCTATGTAAGTGATCTACTTCATAGACTGTAAAGGATCCTGTGACTAGTATGGCTACTTACAAGAATTCTTGGCACTTAAATTGATATTAAAAGGACAAGGAGAGGTTTAGGATGAAGGAGTAGTAGCATTTTCCAGCAGCTGGCCATTTATATCCTTCTAGGTTGCTGGTTGTACCCTAATATTAAAATGGTGATTGTTGCTTAAATTTCGTTCTGTGCAGCTGAGAGGTACCATCTAGACAAGCATATTCTGAGGGAGCAAGCTCCAACCCAAGTTCTTGATCTGGACCACAGACCATTAAATGACAAAAGCCTCAGTGCTGTATGCATTTACATATGGATTCTACCAGACTGGGATTTGTGGCCAGGTGTAGCTGTTCAGAACTCCCCACCTACTCTCAAATTTCTTGATAACATCGAAAATTTACATCAACAAAGTTTCATGTAGTCTGTTTTGGATGGCTTTATCTCAGTTTTGTGATGTGGCCATGATCAGGCTTAAGGTTGTTCTTAAATATGTACATCATAACCCATGAAATTTTTTCCCTTCAATTAAGGTGTTCAAACGCTACGTTGAGATTGGCCGAGTTGCCTACATTTCCTTTGGGCCACATGCCGGAAAGCTAGTAGCAATTGTGGATGTTATTGATCAGAACAGGGTAAGTCTGGATGCTTGCACTATGTCTCTAGTGTAAAAGCATGCTGCTTATATACCGCCCCATAGTGCTTCAAGCACTCTCTGGGCGGTTTACAAGTTAATTATACAGGCTACACATTGCCCCCCCAGCGAGCTGGGTACTCATTTTACCAACCTCGGAAGGATAGAAGGCTGAGTCAACCTTGAGCCGCTACCTGGGATTGAACCCCAGGTCGTGAGCACAGTTTTGGCTGCAGTACAGTGGTTTAACCACTGCGCCATGAGGCCCTCTGTTCAACATGTTTTTGTGAAAACTAAAGTTTAGCAGAAATATTATAGAGGTGAATGAGCAGGCTTGCAGAAAGAGAACTGATTGTTCCATCATTTCTTTGTTTAGTCTCAGCAGAATTGGAAAGTCAGCGTCTTTCTGCACAGCCTCCATAGAAGTGCAGCACTGGGGATGCATATTCCTCTGTCCCTTCGCTCTCCTCTCCTTGATAGAAAGGAGGCTAGTTTTTTTTTAAAAGTGATGAGTGATTGATAGCCTGCATTTAATAGCCCCAGAAATGCAGCTCACTAACCTCTCTGCAGCCTAGAAAAATTAGCTGTGTTGACAGTATTAATGCTGCTCTTCTGCAAATCTGAACATTTCCTCATATCACAACAGTTTTGTGTGATGTCCTTATTCTATAGGTCTTCCTGTTTTCTGAAAATTGAAGCGTTAGAAAGAAAATGCAAAAAAAATCACTGTGTGAGATACCTTGATTCTTTGATCAGTGGGGCTTAGTCTAAGGAATAAATTGCATAGGTTTGTGGTCTGAATTACCATTTGAGTGTTATAATGTGCCTACTCAAAATCCTGTTTAATTTTGCTGGGTTTCTTATGGGGATAGAGAAGGAAGCTTTCTGGCTTTCAAGAAAATGCAACTTTCCTATAATTAGTGTACACCATGTTAGGAAAAAAAAGAGTGAAAAGGTAGAGGCAAGGCTCAACCTGTACGGATTTTCGTATTTAAAATCCTGTTTATGATTGGTGCTTAAGGTGATTCAGATTTACTTATAGTCTGAATTTAAATTGTTTTACACCTATTCTTGGGTTGAAGGAGTATCGGGAAAACTGCTGAAAAATCTTACTTGCTTTTCCCCTCTCTTACTACTTTAGGCATTAGTAGATGGTCCCTGCAGTGGTGTTAGAAGGCAGGCAATGCCCTTCAAGTGCATGCAGCTAACTGACTTTGTTCTCAAGTTTCCTCACAGGTAATCCTCAGTTGTTGGTTTAAACAAAATCAGGGACATTGTTTTACATTAAGAACAGCTGATATTAATCATGCTTTGTATGAAAAAGTAAAAACATTCATCTGAATTCTTCCCAGCAATGCTACTGCGGAGCTGTACAAAGCCAGCTAATTTTAGTTATTGTTTATCCCCAGGACACAAATGTTGTCTGAGCAGATAACTTTTTGATCTATATTGCTGTTTTTTCTTTTCTAAGTTGGTTATTCTGTCACAAGACTACTGTTAACTAAGGGACGTGGTGGCGCTGTGGGCTAAACCGCGGAAGCCTGTGCTGCAGGGTCAGAAGACCAAGCAGTCGTAAGATCGAATCCACGCAACGGAGTGAGCGCCTGTCGCTTGTCCCAGCTCCCGCCAACCTAGCGGTTCGAAAGCATGCAAATGCAAGTAGATAAATAGGGACCCCTTCGCTGGGAAGGTAACAGCGTTCCGTGTTTAAGTCGCACTGGCCATGTGACCACGGAAGATTGTCTTCGGACAAAATGCTGGCTCTATGGCTTGGAAACGGGGATGAGCACCGCCCCCTAGAGTCGAACACGACTGGACAAAAATTGTCAAGGGGAACCTTTACCTTTACTGTTAACTAAGTTACTTATCAAAAGTAGTAGATATGTAGTTTATATGTCGTCCCCAATATTTAAAAAGTGAAAGGACTCAGAACTTGGTTTAGGAAAATATAAGGGGGAAATATATTTTTCTTCTTTTTTGCATTCTGTATAGGTGGTGGATATGAGGATTCATTTGTAAATGGAATTTCTTTTTGCATTACAATAACAAATATTTCTGTTGAAATTAGTGCTCGTCAGAAATATGTGCGAGCTGCTTGGGAGAAGGAAAACATTAATGAGAAGTGGAAGGCTACCAGATGGGCTCAAAAAATTGAGGCCAGAGAGAAGGTATGTTTACAAAACAGCACGAAATAAGCTGCCTGACATAGCTAAACAAAGTATTTCTTGAGCAGCTGAATGACTAAAGTTGACTTTAGCAATACAGTGGTGCCTCGACTTACGAAATTAATCCGTATTGGAACGGCAGCCGTAACTCAAAATTTTCGTAAGTCGAAGCACCATTTCACATAGGAATGCATTGAAAACCGATTAATCCATTCTGGCCGAAGAAAAAATACCGAAAATAAAAAAAACAGAGCAACTCCCTCGTTGGGACTGAACAAAAACAAACTACAAATCCAAAAACAAAACAACACAGCACAAAAACATAACCCCCCCAATCCAAACCCACCCTCCAAAACCCACCCAGAACAGTTTTTTAAAAAGGAAAAAGCAGCACCTTACCTGTCTAAAGCCTCCCGGGTTTCCACTGCTTGAGCCTGGTGGGGGTGATTTGGCTGCTTGCCTCCCACTTGCTCCGCGCCACCCTCTGTGGGCTGATGGCAGGAAATTCAAATGGTGGAGGGCAGCAAGGAGCGAGCAGGAGGCAAGCGGCTGAAGAAACCAAATCAGCTCAAGCTTCCCAGCGCTGGGCAACGGCTGCCTCCGCTGCCCCCGCCACTGCCACCAGAGCACCCAGGAGGCTTGAGTGCCGCGATTAATCCATTCTGGCCGAAGAAAAAATACCGAAAAAAAAAAAAACAGAGCAACTCCCTCGTTGGGACTGAACAAAAACAAACTACAAATCCAAAAACAAAACAACACAGCACAAAAACATAACCCCCCCAGTCCAAACCCACCCTCCAAAACCCACCCAGAACAGTTTTTTAAAAAGGAAAAAGCAGCACCTTACCTGTCTAAAGCCTCCCGGGTTTCCACTGCTTGAGCCTGGTGGGGGTGATTTGGCTGCTTGCCTCCCACTTGCTCCGCGCCACCCTCTGTGGGCTGATGGCAGGAAATTCAAATGGTGGAGGGCAGCAAGGAGCGAGCAGGAGGCAAGCGGCTGAAGAAACCAAATCAGCTCAAGCCTCCCAGCGCTGGGCAACGGCTGCCTCCGCTGCCCCCGCCGCTGCCACCAGAGCACCCAGGAGGCTTGAGTGCCGGAGCACCCAGGAGGCTCAAGCCTCCTGGCTCTGGGTCACCCCCACCGCATCCCTTTCCCTAACCATTGGGGCGTTTTGTAAGTAGGGATGTCCGTAAGTCGAAGCCCCACTGTAGTCATTTCAGCAGGCTTGTATTACTGTAGTTAAATCTGCTTGATTGAAGAATTTATCACTCCTATGTACTTTCATGAATGGTTAAGATCTTCAGCAGAAGATCCTGCAGCAGTAACACTCTGAATACACCAAAGCATGTCTGATTTATTTATTTATTCAGCAGAAGATCCTGCAGCAGTAACACTGAATACACCAAAGCATGTCTGATTTTAAAACAAATAAATTCAGGCCAGTTCTGTGCTTAAATGGGAGACTGTCAGGAAATGCGTACATCCAGGTGCACTCAGGAAATAGTTGTTCCTGAAATGCTGGAGTCTCTGTACTAGTAGTTTTCAAAAGTACTGTGGTAGATGGACCTCTGATTTGACTTGGTGTGAGCAGATTCCTTTGTTCTTTGGGTTCCCTTGCTATCTGAAGTATGCTATTAGAAAGAGGACTTTTTCAGCAGTACTGCCAGTTTTGTTGATTTTTAAAATGTTCTCCTTGGCCAGGCTCATTTACTTCACTTCTTTTTACATTCTTTTGAAATCAGGGAAGGACTTTTTGCTGCTGCTAAGGATTCTGTAGATTCGTTTTTGCTGCTGTGTTGGTCATTTTTATGATGGTACAATTTATTTATTTGTGTTCTTGGTTTGTTTCCCAGAGAACATGGGGATTTGGTTGAATGGTGGGGTAAAAATATTCAGAACAAATATCTGTATCACTTGCCTTGTGAAAGGCTTAGTTGTATGATGTTAAAACTCTCAGCTCCTTCACTTCATCCTCATATATTTAAAGCTGTTTTGGTGTCCTCCTGCTTCCAGCTGACTGAGCTTTTATGAGCTCTCTTCCCATCTGTTCCTGAAGTATTCCGTATGTTTTCTGTATGTTCCGCAACAGCGTGACATGGGCATATCAGTGGCACTTGGTTTGATGGTACTTTTATTCAGAACAACAATATACTTTTACTAATTATCTATTCTCTATTACTTATAACTGTTTCTCTATTCTCTTTATCATTCCAACTGTTCCATCTATGTATTAACTTTCTCAATTCACTCTCCTAACTCTCCCTCTCCAAATCACTATCTTCTGCTTCTCTCTAACTCCTAACTGTCATCTTCCTTCTCTCTCTAACTCTTAACTGTCATTTTTTCACTCCCTTGTCTCTTTTTGACCCCGCCCCTCCTGCCCTATCATTGGCTCCTCCCTTTGGAGCGTTCATGATGGATAGACAGGAGTGACTTCATGTGTTGGCATTTTGCCACAGTCGTTTTATTCACGGAAGGGCGCAGTTGCATGTGCGCTTGGGCGCCTCTTCCTGCCGCTGCTGTTGCCCAATTGCCTCTTCCAGAGCTCACAGCTTGTCCCCTCTGATGGCCCCGATAGCAGCAGGAGACGGAGGCAAAGGAGTATTCGCACTTGCTCGGGCACCTCTTGCTGCTGCCTTCCCCGCTTGCCCAATTACCTCCTCCAGTGCAACTGCTGGGGCTCACCTGCAGCTCACGTCACCCGCCTTGTCCCCTCCGGTGGTGGAGGTGGAGGCAAACAAACATTCACGTGCGCTCAGGCGCCTCTTCCTGCTGCCACTGCCAGATCACCTCCTCCCACGATCTTAGGGCAGGGGACAAGGCAGCAACGACATGAACTGGAAGTGAGTACCGCGGTCGGCAGCCACACTGGAGAAGGTAATTAGGCGGGCAGCGGAGACAGCAGCAGTAGGCGATGGAGCAGTTGCCCATTAACTGCTCCTCCTCCTCCATCAAGGGTCAAAATTAGGGGATCATTTTATACATTGGGAGGTTGTATACACGGTAAAATATGGAAACGGACGTAATCAAATACAGTGGTGCCTCGCTTAACAACAACGAATCCACTTAACAACAACGAATCCACATAGCGATGATTTTTTGCAATCATTTTTGCGATCGCATTGCAATGTTTTAAATGGTAAAAAAGTGCTTTGCGATGATCGGTAAGCTGTTTCGCTTACCGATTTTCGCATAGCAATGTTTTTAGAATAGCTGATCGGCGGGTCCAAAATGGCCGCCGGGGAAAAAAAAACGGCTGCCCGCTGTGTTTAGAGACAGATTCCTCGCTTACCAGGCAGCGAAAATGGCCACCGTATGGAGGATTTTCGCTTTAAGGTGAGTTTTTTGCCCATAGGAACGCATTAAATGGGTTTTAATCCATTCCTATGGGCTTTTTTTTCACATAGCGACGATTTTTGCTGCACGGATTGTCGCTATGCGGGTCACCGCTGTAAGGCATTATTGAAGTAATGACAGCACATTTTAATTGATGAGGTCAGGGTTCATGGGTGCACATTCACTTTTGAAAGCCAGTTGGCTGTAGGGTGGTAAATGTTACAGGGAATAAAAATATGAAAATATTATTTTCTAAAGTAATTGAATTAGGAGTAGGGAGACCCAAATTCAAATTACCACTCAGCCTTGAAGCACATTGCATTGACCTTGGATTAGTGTTTCTCAGCATAATGCACTTCAAAGGTTTGTTGTGAGGATAAAAGAATTGTATACATTGCCTTGAGCTCTGGATGAAAGACTAGGTATAAATGTAACAACAGGATATGTCTTATTTGTTTAAGAATGCAAGGAAGATAAATCAGTAGGGGAGAGATGTTTATTTTCTTGGGTTAAAAACAATTTTGAGCTCTGAATAAGGCACCAAAATAAGCTCCATTCTATGAAATCTTTCCACAGAAAGCCAAGATGTCAGATTTTGATCGCTACAAGGTCATGAAGGCTAAGAAAATGGTAGGTAAATTGTGTATAGTTTGTTTTCTAGAATCACCGCTTTTGAAAACTGCAGAGCCATTTAATCTTAAATCTCTGAGTATCCTTCTTCCTGTATGATTTTGATTCTGTTTGCTAATGTACACTCAAAAGACCAGTTCATGATTCCTTACTGTTTGATATAAGCATCCACAAACATGCTTGCTTGGGTGCAGAAGAAGTGTCCAGGAGTGTATACATTCATATACCCTGCAGTGATTTTCATGATTGCAGTAGACTTCCACAGCCTCTGAGATCAGTAATAGCCCTTGTTAATTGCTTATAGCATTTTAAAGAGGACGTTCCTCCAGTTTAATGCCAAAGATAAGCTCCTTTTAAGCTTTAAATCAGGAATGGACAAAATGTGGCCTTCCTGGTATTAATAAGCCTGCAACATCCACCAGCCCTACCCAGCATAATCAGTGGTGGAGGCTAATGGGCATTGCAACTGGAGAGCCACAACATGCCTGCTTCTGTTTAAATGCCTTGATATGTGAAAGACAAAAGTGTTCTCCCATGCAAATCTACCCTGCTAATCATCATCTGAGTCCCTTCTTTGGATGTTCTTGCTATCTTGTGTTAAGCAGCTGGTGACCAGAAGACAATCTTCTAAACTGTGGTACCTGTTTTAGATGAGTTGTATTCACTAAAAGGGCTATTAGGCAGTGAAATTAATGACTTCATATGCCTCAAAAGGACCTTATTTGCCAAAGTTTAAATACTGACTTTATCACTTTGCTGATCTTAACTGTTCATTCTACCTATAGTACTGTTTTATAGATTGATTGTATTTTAACTTAAATTGTAAGTTGGCTTTACTTTCATTTTATCTCAGGCAAGGAAGTAGTAGTAAGGCAAGTTTATTTGTATATAGCTATAGCCATTACAAAAGTTTCAATAGGATACAATATCAAATATAGTATACAAATAAAACCCATTTAAAAACATTACCATGTGAACTAGTTCAATTCTTAGTTAAAGCATGATCATTATAACTACAGAACTTCCTTCTTAAGCAAATCCGGCTGCCTTTTCAGAAATGTATGCACCTTATCCCCCAATAGAAAATTTATCAAATATGCACCAGATCTACCAAATGTGAGACCTAACTCTTGGAACAAAGCTACTCTCTGATTTTTGTAGATTGGGCAGTCAGATAAATAGTGGTTTAGATCTTCAACTGCATTAGTTCCACATGGGCAAACTCTTTCTCCAAGGGAATCAGTTGGTGATGTCCTTCAACCACTGCAGAACTCATAGACTGACAATGTAATACCGTAAAAGTGTTTCTCCATTTAAAATGTGATATATTGTCTTAGTTAAATACTGTGTTTGAATAGGTAACTTAGCATACCAGGGTGCACATTTTGACAGACAGGCAGAAATAGGGTCAGTTCGAAAATCATATTTTAAAATATAGGACTTCAAGTATCGTGCTGTAATTTCTAAATTTAAAACACTTTTAAAAGCTCATACTTATCAATAATTTGTGAAATTTCCTGATTCCAAGATAAAATTTTCCTATTGTTAAAATTTAGCATCTCTTTAAACATAGCCAGTACTATATCTGATCGGATCCCTTTTTCAATTTCAGCCAGAATTTAATAGTATGTATGTGTACTATATCCTTCACAGTGTGAAGGCCTGCTTCCGACCAGAAAATACAGGTCTCAGATCCTTTAGGAAGGCCTAGGATGGCTCACATTTATTCTGGGTTGTTTCTAGGTACATATTTCAGCACTATATATAAGTTTGGCCTCGTAGATTTTAAGAGCAGGTGGGAACTGCCTGCCACCTCTGCCCCAATAGAACCTGAATAGAATGCTAATAGTGTTGGTGGCAATTTTATTGGTATTTTCTTGGTGGTTTTTCAAGAGCCAGTTAAGGAGAAGTTTAGTCCTAAATATTTAAAGGACTTCATTTGTTCTGCCATACATGATTTCTAAACTTATTGGCAAATACTAGTATTTTAGTTTTTCCATAATTAATTTTAAATTTTTTTCTTGTGCTGCTAGTTTATTAAAACGGGTCCCCATCCCCCGGTCTGCAACCCTGTGCCAGTCCATGGGCTTTCTTGAACTGGGCCGTGGACACGGATCTCGCCCCCCCGCGCACACGGCGGGCATGTCATGCTTGCGGGTAGGCGTGTTGCGCCTGCAGGGTGGGTGTGTCGGGCGAGCACACATGAGCGCAACACGCACACCCGTGAGCACGGGGTGCCCCTGACACACCGCGCGCACAGAGCCCGCACCCCCCAACCGGTCTGCAGTCCGAAAAAGGTTGGGGACCACTGGATTAAAAGCTTTGAGCAGCCTCCTTAGCCCTTGTGTTTGTGATAATAAAATAGTGTCATCAGCATACGTAAGTACTGTTAATTTTCTAGATCCCAGTTTGGGAGGTACATAGTTGTTATTGTTACTCAACTCAGTAATTAATGAGTTGACATAAATATTAAACAAAGCTAGAGTTAACAAACATCCTAGACAGACACCTCGTGTAGCTGGTATTATACCTGATAAGAAACCTGAGCAATCTATCCTAACCTGAATCTTAGTGTCGGAGAGGAGTTTTTGGATCACCACCAACCATTAGAGGTTTTGCTTAATTTACCACAGACACAATCTTGGCTTATGGAATCAAAAGCTGCTGTGAAAGCAATAAATGCTACATATAGATGGCTATGTTTTAGCTTTACATACTTATATTTTAAGTGAGACAAAATAAAACAGTGATCTTTTGTTCAGTGATTACATTGAAGACCTGCCTGCTCTTCTGCGATCATCTCACTAGACTCAAGCCAAGAATTTAAATTTTTTGCCAGATATTTAGTATGTATTTTTAATGAGATATGCAGCAAACAAATAGGGGAAAAAATGGCTGGATTGCTTGGTTCACCTTTTTTGTATATAGGGACTGCTATACTGATGTTTTATTGTGGGGGAAAACAACTATCTCATTAATTTCTGTAAATAAAGCTGAAAAGATAGAAGCCCACCAGTTTGGTGCTGCTTTGTAGATTTCACTCACAATTCCATCTTTACTAGGTGCCTTCTTGTTCTTTAAAGTAGCAATTATTTCACAGATTTCACTGGGGGAGACAGGGTCCCATACTCACAAATCCTTTCCCACCTCAGCATTTAGGTCTATTACTCTTCACAGAAGTTTCCAAAAGATTATTTTTAATGTGAGGTTCCTTGAATAAGTCCCTAAAATGGGCCTCCCATACACATGTAGGTATTTTGGGTTCAGTCAGTGAATGCCCATTGGTACTCGATTTGTTAATAAGTCTCCAAAATTGCTGAGAGTCTTTCTTTTGGGTTGCCATTAGTAGTTCTTTCCATTGTGAGCAAATGTATAATGACTTTTTCTGCTTTAGAAGATTCTTATAATTCATAATTTGCAGTAATTAAAGATTAATCTGGGAGCTTGTGATTTACGAGCTATTCTTGCAGCTGCTTGCAATTTAGATTTCACCAGTTTACATTCCCTGTCATACCACTCAGAGCAGATGGATTTCTGTAAGCATGTTATTTTCTTGGGAAACAGAGGCTCTAATATCTGTAGCACTTCAGGGAACTGTGTGACTAAGTCTTTGTTCTGATTTATAAGTAAATTTACTACATAGCTGAATACCTTTTTTATCATAAAACATTCCCAGCAATTAGTGTTCTACTTGAGCTGACCATCTAATTCTTTTAAGAAGATTAAAGTCAGTTATATTCTTAGTATTTTCTTCCTGTGGTGGGCATACCAATAGAGATAGATAGGAAATTGATCACTTCCTGGGTGACAGATTACTTTGAAATCACTTATATAAGTGATCAAGTCAGAGATCACTATGTAATCAATGACATTTCCTCCCCAACCAGCAAAGTTATATTACCCAGTTCAACATTAGGGTGATTTCTGTTAAGGATGTAGAAATCATATTTCATAATTATGCTATAAAAAGCTTTGCCATAGTCATTGATCCTGGTGTCCTTTGATTCCCTTCCTGCATTTATTTAGAGGTGAAGACAGATATTTTAACTAGATAAATGTTTTATCACTCAGCAGAATTTAACATAACTGAATATATTTCAATTATGGTCTGGTATTTCAACTAGGAGCTTAACCTTCATAAAAATGAAATCTGAAGGTGCTCACCATAGTTTAAATAAAACAGCTCATACCTAAAATTCAACATTACCTCTTCTAGTTGTCAGCATGTAAGTAAGTAGTGAGCTTAATTAGGTTTGTTGAAAACTGACTGCTCACTAATATGACTTTTTTGTTACAGAGAAACAGAATCATCAAACATGAAGTAAAGAAGCTTCAGAAGGCTGCTGCTGGTGCTGCACCTAAAAAAGCATAATCTATCAGGAAATAAAATTTCAGTTTAATATGTGCTTGTTATAAACTTGTAACTTGTCTGATTTTTTTAGAATGTGCAACCAAATAATTATATTGTATGGGATCTCATACAATATAACAGGGACGTGGTGGCGCTGCGGGCTAAACCACAGAAGCCTGTGCTTCAGGGTCAGAAGACCAAGCAGTCGTAAGATCGAATGCACGCAATGGAGTGAGCTCCCGTCACTTGTCCCAGCTCCCACCAGCCTAGCGGTTCGAAAGCATGCAAATACAAGTAGATAAATAGGGATCACCTCGGTGGGGAGGTAACAGCGTTCCGTGTCTAAGTCGCACTGGCCATGTGACCACGGAAGATTGTCTTGGGCCAAAACACTGGCTCTATGGCCTGGAAACGGGAATGAGCACCGCCCCCTAGAGTTGAACATGTCTGGACAATAAAAAATTGTCAAGGGGAACCTTTACCTATGGGATATCAGCTGACAACCAGACTATAGCTAGTTAAGGCTAACATGGCTTCAGCTGCTCTTTCTGCTGTTTTATGGTTGCAATATTACAAAGCAAATACACATCCCCTTCTCGCTAAAAGTTTCATTTTGATCCCTCCCCCATTGTATAGATCTGGCTTTGGAAATGTGTTTCTAAATACATTTGATGCACTGTGTGCCAGAATGTGATACATTGCTGAAGCAATTTGAAACATCAGATAAAATTCAGATTTTGTTTCTTTGATATTTCTGTTGAAATATACAGCATTTAAGTATGAATCTGTTGGCATTTAATGGAATTTGGCAATAACTGTAGAAGCATCTCTAACTCAATTGGAACAGCGCTTACTTTACACATGCAGGTCTCAAGTTCTGTTCTGGGAAATACCTGACCAAATCCTTAGACAGTATGCATGATATCAAGCTACATGGATCAGACTTGGTATAAGGCAGCTTTTGGTTTGTATATATTGGCAAGAATCCTAGTTACACTGATGTAAATGCAGTGGTGTACATTAGAGTGGTGAATACCTGCTAGTTAAGTCATCACTGACAACTATCCCTTGTCAAAAGCCAGTCTTACAAGTTGGTGAACAGTGTGTGACATAAGCAGTAAGTATGTTAAGTAGCAGAAATTGGCTTATGAATGGCAATAGGATTTTAGCCTTGGCAAAACATGCAACTGTTACTGACCTTAAAGTCTTGTGGTGATGACCCTGGCCACTTAGAAGCTCTCAATGGCAACAAAAAAGTTTTAAGGTCATATACTTGGCCTCATGAAGCAATTTGTATAGGTTCAGTCTTGACATCAGACATTTGTACTTTTTACAGATTTTGTAAAACTAGTACAGTCGTGCCCCATTTTACGATTGCCCCCCTTATGGTGAATCCACTTCATGACGACGTTTAGCGATAACAAAATGATGGCCTAAATAGGGGTGTTTTGCTTTGCGATTATCGGTTCCCTGCTTCGGGAACCGATTCTTTGCAAAATGATGGGTTTTTTAACAGCTGATTGGCGGTTTCAAAATGGCTGCCAGGTAATTAAAATGGCTCCCCGCTGTGTTTAGGGATGGATTCCTTGCTATACAGGCAGCGAAAATGGCTGCCGTATGGAGGATCTTCACTGGACAGTGAGGTTTTTAGCCCATTGGAACGCATTGAACGGTTTTTAATGCGTTTCAATGGGCTTTTTATTTTCGCTTTACGACGTTTTCGCTTAACAGCAATTTTCCTGGAACGGATTATCGCCGTTAAGCGAGGCACCACTGTATTCTAATAGCTAAAATGTATACAGTGAGCTTGTGGGAAAATACCATTTAGCAGCAGAATGTGAAAAATGGCTACGCTTGTGCATATTCAGTGAGCTCCCCTTCTACAATGATGTATCCTCTGGAAGTCTCAACAACTGGGGAAGATGTAAACAGCTTCAGAGGGTCCTTGGAGCCATTTTCTTTACAGTTGTCCAGACCTGCCAATTTTCTAAAGGAAGTCACTTTTGGTTTCTAAAAATGAATGGTAAAATCAGCTTGCAGAAGGCTCTGCTTTTAAGTTGGTAGGTAGAAGGAGAGGAAGCAGATGTAGACATTTAGATTTTCCCAAATGAATATTATTCTTTCAAGAGCAGCTGTACAGAAAGGCAAACATTTGTGACAAGCACTGCTATCACCCTATTGCAAGAAAGCCTGACAATCCCAAATTACGTTTTCTATCCTAGCCAATATTAATATGGCTCTTCCCAAGTTAGAAAGTTGGAATGCAGTTGTGTTAGTACATAATGCCAGCATGTTGTATTAAGTGCTCCAATTTTTGAGAAACTACTAATGCTTTTTAAACAGGCAAGCAAGAGAAGCACCTTGTCATCACACTTTGGAAAAGTCAGTTCCAACAAATTATCTTAGAGCTTTGCCCATTAGCGTTTTTAAACATTCAAATATTTTAAACATTTAAATATTCCCCAAGAAGTATGGCCACTGGGAATTCTGAAAGTTGAGGTCTCAAAACATGGGGAATTCTGGTAGTTGTAGTCCAAAAATATATGTACAGCTCTAAATTTTATGAATGACTTAAGCATCATTTAAGCTGCATCTTTGTGCTGTTGTATTGGACTGCCTTTCTTCAGCTGCTGAAACTGCAGGTTTTGTGAAGTCAGTGATTCTGCTGAAGACCCAAGGATATCATCCTGTTCTGACAACCCAGAGGAAGGACACAGAGAGAAATCCAGTAAAGGAAAATGTTTTCTCTTTTTTTAAGGTAATAGAAAAGAAGGAAGTTAGGAACCAGAAAACAAGCATCCTATCAAGGGGAAGAGGAAGACAGGAACCAAAACTGAAAGGCTGGGTTGCCCCTCCTCACCAGACGGGAACAGCTGAAAAATTATTGGTCTTTAGCTTCTGTCTATCAAGATCAAAGACGGACAACGCCCTGTAAGGACTTCCTCCTGTAGGCTTTCTAACATTACAAAGTTTCTTAGCGAAAATAAGGAACACTTTCACAGAGGAAGCTTTTGAATAATCCATTTGGCTTTTCAGTATTGGTATCAATGGGCTATGTCGCATGAAACACATTTCTAAAAAAGTTTTAATGGTATTTCTCAAAGACTGTCTTCCCTGCAAAACCGACAGAATGAAATTTTCAGTACAAATCACCAAATAATGTTTTTTTTTAAAATAGTTCATTGTACCTGATATGACTGAAAGAAATGATAAACCTATGATAAACAATTTGAATTGCTGGGGGACATGAAATATGACTGAAAGAAATGATAAACCTATGATAATTTGAATTGCTGGGGGACATGAAATGGGCAAATTTGGAGCAAAAATAGACCAAAGTCCAAAATCGTATCTTTTTTTAGGACTAGCATAAATTCTACAAGAGTAAACTTTCTGCTTAAAATATTGGAATTTTAGGTGATTCTAAAAATAGATTTTGGCCTTACTTTGTTTTCTTGGACCAGTGCACATCCTCTTGGTATCCCACTCCCCAAATAATAAGTGTATGGATTAAAGATGCTATAGCTGTTCCAAACTAAAATGTGAAATGTTGAAGTTTTGAGATCCAGAACTTTGTTGTGCATATATTTACCATGATACTTGTTCATGCCTGAAACGTCCAGTCTTCTGGATAGCATTATCCTGAATCATGGTCACAAGCAAAGCAGGGGGATGTGTGGGCTATGTAATGACTGCCTCGGCTGCTGAGAGATGAAAATTCATGAACATTCTTTATATTTATGGCATGTGCTACAAAAAGTGTCTCACTGTTAAAATAGGTACAGCACTTTGATAAAAGAAAGTATTATTACAATAATACAGATACAACCAGAAGCACACAAAGGTCCTCGAGAAATTTTTCAAACTCTTGGAAAAGTTGGGGTACAAATTTTCTCTGAATTTAGGCAGTCAGAGGAAAGAGGCTCCCAAAAATATTTTCGTTAGGGCGGCTTTCTTTGATTTCCCTGTCTCTAATGTCTCACCAGCAAGCATGCATAAATATGTGAAATTCTTTATAGTGTAGTTAGAGTGTTGTATTAGTATTTAGGAGACTTGGGTTCAAATCCCCGCTCAGCCATGAAGCTTGCTGGGTGACTTTGAGCCAGGCACTCTGAGCTTCACATTAGAAATGCAAGACACTGAAAAGCACTGACAGGGTTTGTCAGGTTTTTAAAAGGGGGAAACGGTGCCACCAAATGGTCGATCGGATTCATATGTCCATTTCTTCAAGTCAGACTGTGAGCCGACCGGCAATAAGAACTGCAGTAAAATCATTTTTAGATTTATTAAAATTGATTTAGAAATTCCCAGGCCCATGACACACAGGTGGAATTAATTTATTCCGGCTGCAATGCAGGATTTCTTGAACTAGCTGGCATGAGCTTTTTAAAATATCTTGCTTGTAAATTGAGTTTTTTCAATGCAGGTTTGTGGTTGGGAATGCTACTGTCTACTTTGTGCCTTTGTTGATTTTGAGTGCCACTGACACTGGTTTTGCCACTCTATTTTTAAATTTTCCTTTAAAAATTATAGGAATGCATGGCTTAGTGCACAGGCAACGTGTAACTGGCAACATGTGCAACCACCCCACCTGGTGTCATTGTGAAACATAGCATCGTGATGCCGTTAAAATGGATAGAGGCATTTTACATTATGTACAGTCTCTCAGGATTGCCTTCTGAAATTTAGAATACTTTCTCAGATGAATGCAGCCATCAATTTAGTGATGTATCTCTTTTTTTTTAAAAAAAAAAACACCCAATAACATCAGAAACAGAAAGGAAATGAGTCAATTTCATCTGTGTAGCTGCCAAGACTGGTTTTAATTACAAGAAATAAATCAAATTAATTTCACTCAAAGTGAATGTGGCTAACGATTTATATCCAATGTAACTTGAATACAATATTAAAAAGTGAAAACAGGAATCAATTCAAACTGGCAGTGGAACCACACCCTCCATCAGGAGTGGGGCTGCTGAATAAAATGATCGTGGTACTAAAGTAGAGAGACAAACCATGTCTTGAGCTCATTGAAAAAATGATAGAATTTTAAGACGCAAAAAAGC